ATTGTGGCAATGCACAAGGCTTGTCTGTCTTTCTTTCATGTCACTGGAGGGAAAGGGAAGTTGGGATATTTCCTGTTGCTCAAGCATGGGAACTTTATTTCCTTCTGATCAGGTTGGTTCATCACTTCTCTTTCCAACATCCCTCAGTCTGATACTTTGATCATCTCTGGTTCACGTTTCCACTTGCTAAATATAATGTATTCTTTTGAGGAGATGGGATTATTTTTCTCCCAGAATGCCTGGTGTAGATGTCTAAATGAATTCCTGACTGTGTCTTGCTTCAATTTGAACTTGTTTCTCCTTTGCTACTAGTGCTAGTAAATGTTATTTGGAAAATCTACTAATTTTGTACCCATATCGCTCATCTCATCTCATGTCTAAATAAGAAACAGATAAAATTCATGAGCCTGTATGCTGAGCTAATGCTTGGCATATAAATTATAAAGTATTAAAACATATAAACAATAGTAAAAAAAACTAAAATATTTCACACTTCACTTTTTACCACTTCTCATTTTCACTTGCCACATGCATTTGGAAAACATTACTGCAGCAATATTTTCCTTTCCAATTTAATTTTTATTGACTTCTTTTCTTTTCTCAATCCCACTCACATAAATATGACAATATGAGTTATGTATGGATGATTCATTTATCTTGCTGACAGCTAGCCAGTCCAATGAATTCGAAACAATCACAGCTCCATGACATCTATTTATACTTCCCCTCTGGTTTTGCTGTGTTTAAGAGGAAAATACAGTCTTAATCAGTAAGAATGCCGAATTAAAATATTTTCTCTTTTAATTTTGTAATCAGGCTGAAGACACATGATTTTCTCCAAGGAGTTACGATACTGTATTGAACATCACAGTTATGATACAGTATAATTATTACATTTCATATTTCTGGTTATTTCTCTCTCTAGCTGCAGTTTCTTCATATGTGATCATGCTTGTATTTGAGCACCATAGACCTCTTCACCCAGAAAAAGGTTTTTTCCCTACAACTACTTTTCCCTTCAGAGTTCAGTTTACATTGTTCTCCACAGAGGACCTTGGAGCCCCCTCAGCTCTTAGGACTCTTGACCTGGATTCAACCTCTGTCATATCCATCTCTGATGATTTTAAAGGCAGTGATGCTAAAGAGTTTCCTAAGCACAGTTCCCAAGGTCAGATGGAAAGCAGAATTTGAATCCATATTCCATAACACTTCCAACTGCAGAGGAAGTCCTAAATAGCTTCTTTCATCACCAGCCATACTGAGAACAAGGATGTGACTTCTTGTTCACAAGAATGCTTCTGTTGTGAGAACCCTTCCATGTTCAAGGACTTCCTTTGAGAAATAGAATTTACAAGCTTGTGTCTGCAGCTTCTATATGATCACCAGAAACTAGAAACGTCGCTGGGCTTGAGCGCGAACAGGAGGATCTGCTCCTCAATTCTTTACCAGGAGGTGACCCACACAAGGCAACGCTTCTCTCTACTTTGAGAAGTACTTGCTAAAGGAGGGGGTTCTGAAATGCTCAGGAACTTCCCTACTTTTACCTCCTACTGCCATTTTTTGCACTGAGCACCCTGCTCACATACTGTCTCTGCTCTAGCTGAGACCCAGGAGGGGAATTGTTTTGCTGTGTTTAGTTACACATTCATACAAATGGAGGTAGTCCTACAAAAGCTTACATTTCCAGCTGGCAAAAAGCCATATAACTTATTATTTTATCTTGCCTCCTGTCTTTGGTGAATGCTGTCATTGACACCAAGGTCATTGTGCCCTTGTAGGTACCATTGTCATTTTTGCCAGAAGGACTCAATGTCAGCTTCATAGAGAGTTCTCTGAGGTTGGTTTTAATCCAGGTCACCAGCATGAAAAAAAAAAAAAAAATCACCCACTGCAGGGTAAAACAATGCAAACTGTACAACAATACAATTGAAGGAAACCAAGAGGAAAATCAAAAGATTGTCCCAAATCTGCACACGCTTTAAACTTAATAAACCACCAAGTGTCAATAAAATATCTTGTGGTTATGAACTGGTCAGAAGTTCAAGGCTAGGAGCCATGAAATTATCAAGATTCACAGATATGTTTTGCATGGCTGCTAAACCTCAAAATAATTAGTATTGAATATCTTTGCTAATAATCTAAAGAGATGTTGGAAATCAGAGGCTAAATCAAGTAATCCTGGATACGAAAAGTTTATCCAAATGTCCTATTTATGGCACACCATTGTTTTGTTGTTTTTTTATTTCAGTAGTAACTGAAACATGTGTTTTAGAACCCTAATTGACAAAACCTCACATTTTAATAACTGCTCTGTGTTTATCTCAATGCACATATGAGCATGCCTATTTGGAAGATTCCTGGTTTTCATATACCCATTTTAAAACTGTTACCAACTTTGGCAAACATCCATTTAAAAGCAAACATAAAATTTAAAGGCAAGTTGCTCATAATTAGTCATGTTATAATTTACATTGCAACATGCTCTGGGAGCTTGTGGGATGCAGTCATAGAAAGACCTCTAAAAGGGATTTTATTAGGAGAGAACAGGCCCAGCTCTGGGAAAACATTTGCTCACTTGCTTCAGTCTGTCTTTAGTCATGATGGTCCCTGCACATATTCTTAGAGGAGCATTTCCAAAATTTGGGCTGAATGAGTTAAAAGGAGAATTTCAGTGGCTTTGCTATGTTATGAAACTCAACATGGGTTTTAAAAACAGGTACAGCCCAATTAAAAGATTTATTGATTTAAAGTCTGAGTACACTGTCATTTAAATGGGAGTTGTAACGAGTACCTGCAGAAACACCATCTGGCAACAGTATTAACATGCCTAAGCTTTCATGAAACTTGGAAGAAAAAGTTGGAAATTGATTTCTAGCATAATGCAGAGAGTAGAGAAATACTTTTCTTTATAAAGCTCAATGAAGGAAAAAACAAGCTTCATTGTAACAGTAGGGCAAACAAGCTATATTGACAAAAACTTAATAAATAACCTCTTTAAAAAAATTAAATACTTTTTAAATGTTTACTACCAGTAGTACTATCTTCTTCTATCTGTCTATCTGTCTATCTGTCTATCTATCTTACAAATCAGGAGCACAATTGAGAAGACAAGGCTTGAAATATTGACCTAAATAATTTGTGCTGAAATTTTTGGAGTCTGAAATACAGGTCCTGCATTGTTGCCAAAGCTTATCTCCATGATTTGTTCTACTTCGGCGTAAAAGGAAATACACAGAGGGACAAATCCAGTTGTGTCTTGTCTGTTTGATGTGTGATTCTTTTTAGCAAGTTACCTGGGGTGAGTTTCTTCAAGTCTTATAGGAAAATGGCACAGAGAAAATGTAGTCCTGTCTTCTCATACATCAGGCTTTGTGCATTACAAAACCCTCATGCAGACAGGCATCATGTACTTCTTTTGCCTCAATTTTTTGGTCTCCTCAGCCTAGGAGACTCAGCCTAACCCCTGTGCCTTCAAGCTGTACCCCAGTTCCCTGCCATTAGGCAAAAATTGCAGCATTTGAGCACAAGGAGCCCAAAACTGTTCCCAGGGGAGACAGCACTGACCAGACCTTGTCACTGCTCTCTTTATTCCTGTCCCCATTTCTCTTTGTGGTTGGCTGCTGCCATGCTCCAGCCAGCTGTCTAAAGGTCCTGGGAATTTACACTGTCAGGAAATGCATAAGGCTTTCCTCTTCAGCGTTGAATCTGACCCACATATTAACCTCATTACTCCTACATTTGCATGACAACGAGCAGTTTGCTAGGAGAGAAAAGAAAAAAAAAAAAAAAAAAAGGCAAGCCAACAATAAATCTGTGTAAAAACGTAAAAACCTCAGGAAGGATAATAACTGTAAGTCTGATGACTACAGTATGAGGACTATTTGCTCTTCTCCTGTAAGGCTCCACCACAAAACAGCTGAGAAACACAGAAGGTAGGGAGGAATTGTAAGCATTATGAAAAATTTGAGAAATGGATAAATTATCTCAGCACAGATACAATGGAATTTACAGATTTTTTTTTTTTTTTCCTGTTCAAAAGCAAGGAACTGAAACATTTTTTCAGTGCATGCACCATGTTTTATACTAAACTGCAATTCCAAAAATTTGCAAACTGTATGCACTGGGAAATTCAGTTCCTGGATAGCTCTGTTTAAATATTTTTATAAATAATATTATATTATTTATAAATGAAATTTATAAATGTATATAATTTTTTTTATTTATAAATTTTATTTAGAAATAAAAACTATTTTTATGAAATTTATTCCACAAGGAAATTTTTAAAGTTATGATTATGTCAATTGAACATGAAATTTTCAGAATTACACTTTCACATAAATAATTTTATTTTGTATGCTATTCAGCACGGTGGCTGAAGGAGCTGTTATGCAAGTATTAACAGGACAGCTGCAGGTTGTCCTTTCATCATATTATTCAGATAACTCAGAGCCCAAGCACTGATAAAAATCTTCCAAAATCTGTGTTCAAAACAAGTCCAGCAGTATTCTGCGACAGAATCATCTCCACAACAGAGCAAGTAGTTACAAATATCTCTTGTGAGATCCCTCTAAAAACAGAGTTCCCCACAAATATATTGCTGACTGAGTTTATAGAGTCTGACTGGGCTTTTAGTTTAACTGCAAATAATTCCAGCCCCATCTACTGAGTCATTCTAACTTTGCAACAGATCATATATTTAGAGAAAACGCAGAGAAAATATGCAATACTTGTCTTCTTCACCTATTTGAGCTGTAAGCTTTTCAGAGAAGAGACATTTTCTTTATGATTTTATAATAAAAAGGGGCCTAATATCAGCTGGAGTCTTAAAACAATAAATAGAAATAATTAATGAAGAAATGTCAGAAAGTTCTGAGGCTCACTGAGCCAAAAGTCTTTTATGTTTAAGAACAGAATTTCAATAAATTTACTTTACTTTAGACTTTTATAGCAGACACCTACAGCAACAGGGACAAAATCATTCTGCCTTTTCCAGAACTCACCACAGATATTCCAGTTAGGACAAATTCTGGATTTCTATGAAGAAGTTCACACATCTTGGCAGTGTATGTTTGTGGTCTCCTGTCTCTGAGGAATACTTCAGAACACTGAAAGGGACAGGTTAAAGTGAGAATAAATATGCTATCCATTCAGTAGGGAAGCATTACATATTATACTTGGACAAGTCAACAGAAAGGGCCAGATTCTGTCACCCAACAAGGCTTTCCTCTGCTCCCTCCATCAACACAAGGCTGCCATAAAGACTTCACAGGCGCCCTTATCTCAGCACTGCAGAACTCATCTCACAGCTTTGGGTCGTAGACAGTTCCTGCTGCACTCCACACTGTCTGCAGGTGAGGAGAATGGTACCAGATGCCCACCATCAAAGCCATTCCTTGTAGTCAGACCAGCTTCTGGGAGTGCCAGACTGCTGCCAGGGACTGCGCCTGTGTTGGTCACCCAGCTCTGGAGGGCGGCACCAAGGTAGGAGAGCAGATCCAAGCAGATATTTTATTGGAACAAGTCCTCCTGGCCACTGCTAAAGCTAATTAGATTGACTAACTTCATTCTTCTGCTTTGAGAGGAAGCTCAAAGAAATCTCTTGCTATATTAGGAGGGCCCACACGCCTCCCATAGCACAGGGCCCAAGCTGGAGTGTTCCTGTGTACTTGAGCAGTCCCAGGTGTAGCTACACCTAACCATGGGGTGTTGAGGTGATGGTGATAAATATTTAATCATTTCTTTGCCAATTGATGTTCCTGATAGTTGGAGTGAGTTGCTATGAAAGCTAGCACTTCTTGAAGTGCAGAAAGTTGTGTGGCAACTTTCTCCTCAATCCATGGCAGGCAAGTTCTTCGTGTCTCAACAAGAGCCCTTCCCATCTGTGGGAGATACAAATCCCTCCAGTAGCAGAAAAAGGGCTTCCCAAAGGCACCACCTACAGCTTTAAGCTGACATTTGGCTGTCACAGGCTGCCCACTAATGAGAGCAGCTGGGAGGTTCAATGTGTGACTGTCCAACAGATCCTTGGGCATCATCAGGGAAGGAAGCATAGCATGCCAGGTTAGATAAATCCTTCTGTCACGCCTGAATAATAAGTACCTTCAAAACGCTTTCTAAAAGTTCAAAGAATCTTATGCAACAACTCACATCTCAACATATTATTGCACTGCAAGTTAGTAATCCAAAGCTCTTCCCATTCGTTTGTTTCATGAACTGTGTGGGACAATATGAGGAAAAGGCTGCCTTTTTTTAGCAAGAAGAAATATTTCCTCAGTTTCTTTGATTGCAGATAGTTTTACAGTCACACACTCACAGACTGGCTCTGAGACTCTATTCCAAACTCCTTCTTGTACTCCCTGTGTGCCTTCATACAGTTCCATGCAGACTGCCAGACTAATGAGATAAATTGGAGCTCAGCGTGGTTTATGTAACACTGGAGCTGTGTGGCTTCTGAAACTGAGATGGAACAGTGAGGCACTCTAACTAAAGAGGGTGACATGCATTAGTGAGGAATTAGAATCCATTTATAAAATGTGATTCAGGCACCTAAATTTAGGCGTGAACAGTGTAGTTGTCTATGATGAAGCAGCTGTCTGTGGCATCACTATACATAAAGGAGGTTGAAGGGTCAGTTCAGCTTCCTAAATCATAGATGTTCTGGCTATCTGAGACTCTCAAGGGCAGCTATCACAGACAACTCACAGGGAATTTGTGTCCTGCTGCAGGGTAAAGATCCTCCTAGAGACCAGGCAGGATGACCTTAGGCTAGGGGCTCTCTTTACTGGCTCACAACTGGGCATGCACTGCCATTTGAGATGCTCTAGGAAATCCAAGGTTTGCAAAGGCTAGGAGATAGGGCAGAGGACTTCTGGGGGACATGTGCCCATCTAAAATGACAGAGAAATAAGCTTGTGTAGGCAAGACACCCTGGCCATCTCAACTGGCACAAGATAAATATTTGAGGGTGATCAAATAATGATGTATGTCCTTGTCCAAGCAAATGGATCACATCTCTAGTCAATGCAGTTGGGAATGAACATGTTGACATACATTCAGTCATCCTCTAGATCCATCCACTGCAGGGGCAGGTTACCCTGGAGACATGAAGAGGGTTCATAGACACTGGTCTTGTGTTTGCACTGGAAGTACCTTGTCTTGCCTGGTGTCCTGCTGCTGTTCCAGAAGATTAACTGTCTCCTGAGGGTCCTGTGTCATACACACACTGCATGGATGTTCCAGAGACAACGAGACATCTCACACAGCACCAGGAGCCCATTTTTAGGCAACTGAATCCCGCAGTAGCCCACACTGGTTATAATAGCACCCTCACCACCAAACACCCTGTAGACAGCTCATCGTTCATGGCTGAACTGGGATCTTCACCTCTAGCTCTGCCCAAAGCCTGCCATGCTGTAACATTTCAGACTACAGGTTGTTCCCTTACTTTGTGTCTACCACTGCAGCACCCTGATCTCAGCTCCTTCCCCCAGCTATGTTGAAATAGAACCATTGAACCATAGAATCAAATCACAAAATATACAGAGTAAGAAGAGACCCACAGGGATCATTGAATCCAACTACTGACTCCACACAGGGCAACCTAAAAGTTAACCATATGCATAAAAGTGTTGTCCAAATGTTTCACAAACACCAAGTTTGGGGCCATGACCTCTTCCCTGGGACACTTGTTCCTGTGACTGACCACCCTCTCATTGAAGAACTATTCCTAATATTCACTTCCCCTGATGATTTAAGTCATTTCCATGCATCCTATCAGCAGAGACCAGGGGGAAGAGATCAGCACCTCCCATTCTATGTAAAGGAAGTTGCAAACAGCAACCTGTGCTGGCTGGGCCTGATGCCCTGGCTGTCCTGGACATGCTGCATGGTGGCACTCAGGATGAGCTGCTCTTGGATCTTCCCTGGTGTGGAGCTCAGATTGACAGGACTGCAGTTCCCTGGATCCTCCTTTCACCCTGGGGCACAGATGGGCATCACATTTGCTCACCTCCAGTCAACTGGGACCTCCCTGGTAAGCCAGGACTGCTGACAAATGATGGAAAGTGGCTCAGTGAGCACTTCCACCAACTCCCTCAGTGCCCTTGGGTGGATCCCACCCAGACCCACAAGTTACAATGAATTTCATTACAGGCAGTAACTAAAACATATCTCACTATTGAGAGAATAGCAAGTTTGTTTGTTTGCTTGAGGCTGAGCAAATCTGCCGTCAGAGAAACTGCCCCTGAGCAAATTCCTAATTGCTGTGTCAAGTTCCCTGCAACGCCAGGATCACAGTGACACAAAGAACAGAGACCTTAATATTTTTCCCCACCCCCATCTCTTTAATGGCTTCCAAATCTCTTCAAGAGCCCATGCAAGCCCCTCAAGCTGCTGAATTCCCAAGTATTCCCTGCTTTACTGATTCAACAAAGTCTGCCTGGAAATGGATAAAAGGTGGTGAATACCTGGTTCACTGGGTACAGGTTTCAGAGTGTTCTCTGGTCTGGAGAGAGTATCCTGAGATGGAGGCCTCCGAGTGCCATTAATTCTGCACCTGCTCAGTGTGCCCATGGTATCATCTGATTTTTTATTTTTGTACAATTTCTAACAATTCTCATTATTACCTTGGCACCTAGGGACTGTGATTTGCAGGAAGGATTCTTTTCCAGGCCAGGCAGAATCATATTACAGTTCCAAGGCATGTTTGGCAACTGCTAATAGTGGCTGGCTATTTTTAGATACCTTTTCTGTTCTTCTCACAGTTCAGATCTGTCCTATTTACCCCAACGCCCCCCCCCCTTTTTTTTTCAAAAAACAGAGATTTTAGACTTGTAATAGTTTTCACTGAATTTTTGGAATATATTTTTATTGCTTTTAAAAAGGTTTTCTATTAGATTGCTTCCACTTTGATTTTTCTAAAACTGTGGTATAATTATTTTGGACCTAAACCTGTATCTCTTCCATGGTCTAATAACATCTCTCAGAACAAGGACTGAATTCCCATGTAAACCATTTGTTCACAGTGGATTTTTTATATATATATATCCAGTAACACCTGGTTTTGACATCTGAATATGAGGTTTAAATCTTCGAGGGTCCATCCCCTCAGTCTTTGCCATTGATTTGCATGCTTTCCAGTTTGGACTGTTCTAATTCACAAAGTCAAATTTAGTGACCCCCTCAATGTCTGAAAATGCCTGGGGCCATTTGCTGAGCTAAGAGTAACAGAGGAAGTGGAATTTGGCACTTCCAGTAACAGTAGAAATAAGCAGAAAAAAACTGCTTTCTCAGTATTATTTCACCTGAACCCACACAGGCAATTGCCCTATGTGGAGCTAATTTTGTCTGAAACCCATGGTTCTAAAAAATGAGGGGAAAGTGGGGGGAGGGGGAAGATAATTTGGAGGAAAAATGTACAGTGGATTTTCCAAGGCAGCTGCCAAAGTTTTCACACATGCATACACAGAGAGGAAAAAATAGTGCAGTAGTGATGCTAGATCTTCTCTCAAGACATTTTTAGCATCTTGCTAAGTGATGGCATCCACAAAGGAAGGAGATGTACTCCTGAGTATACATTCAGTGTCCCAACAAAGTACAAATTATATTAATGTGCCATGAAAATTTGCTTTGGCAAAGCCAAAAACAAAGATCTTTTTTACTTTCCATTTCACAAGTATCTCTGTTTTTTGATTACTGCTACAAGCTGATTATAACTCTGGGACATGTAGGCAGGCACCTCACTGGGTGATAAATAAAAAAGGATCCACCTGTGACCTGCCATGTATCACACATACCAGAGGAATGTCTTCACAGAATATTTTCCCTGAATTATTTTTAAATTTACCTGGTTTTCTACTGTCAGAAATACCCATTTTCTGCTGCTGGAATTCTCTTTAGGATTGCTGTGCATTGGTGCACGACATATGATGAAAAAATCTGAAATGCTTAATGGAGGGCTTACAGGTGGCACATTAGAAAATGGAACATGCTTTCCTTTTTCTTGGTAGCTCACTATTGGAAGCTTTCCCAATGCTGTGAAATTATTATTTTTAAGGACTGATATTGCAACTACTGCAAGTAAATTTACAGACAGGGAATGAGAAATATAAAATGACAACTTTAATAAAAAAGTCTCCATCTGGAAATGTGAGGCTTAGGTCTTGCCTCTGCTGTTCTTGTATAAATCAGGATTAATTTAAATTTTGAAAGAAAGAACTTACTCTCTTTTAAAAATGTGAGATCAGACTCCTGATCTGGGTGAATGAGAAAGATCTAGTCAAAAAAGGAACAACTATTATTAGTCTGTATTTACTTAAAATATTAATAAAGTGTCTAAGTACATTAGTTTAATGTACTTGCCTTGCAATAAAACCAGAAAATTTCATACAACATAAAGGATTGGTTTTGCAATTGTATTCTGTATCCCTGGTAACTCAAGCACCTTCCTTGTCTGTTCTGCATGGGAGGGCCCATATAGGGCATAAAAGTCTGTGTAGGTAACACCCAGCATTTGGAGAGCCCAAATGCTGTCAATGAACTCGAGAGATAATATGAGAGGAAATCCCCATCCCAGCTTTGGCTTTATCTGCTAATCTTGCTTTCCAGTCATGTGTGATACTGTTTCTTGTAAGATACATCTCTGGCAAGAGAGGCATTGTATTTCTGCTGAGTTTTCTAACAAGTGGGAACAAGCCAGCCAGTAGCTTGCACACAGGAAAATGCCTAGCCCTGATGCTTCTTGTTTTAAATATTAGACTCAAATGGTGAAGAAACTTTGCAGATGCTGCAACTCCAATGTTTGCTGGTTTTGCAAGCTCATTTCCTACTTGGTTCAGGAGAATTTCTGAGAAATTTTGGCTATCTAGAAGGGCTTGGAAATTTTGCCATGAAATAGGATGAGTTTGTATCCTGGTGGTGTTTTGCTAGTGAAAGAAAAGAAAAATTGAAAATTTATTTATGTAGCTGACATGCCACAGACAGTTGCAACCATTTCCCAGCTATATGTTTGATTTACTTTTCCCAAAATTAGTACTAATCATAACTCAGTCTAGTAAGAATTGCCTTAAGTGTACTGTAAGAATTGCTGTCAAATGGTCTGGAGAGAAAGAGCCCAAAGGCTGGAAACTCAACACAAAATGCCACTCACAGCTACCACAGCCAGCTTCAAAGGGATTGAAACAGCTGAAAAGCATATCCAGGCCATTGACAAAATGTATGTAAGTTGTTTGCCACCACACCAGGGCTAATGCAAGAAAAAGATCATCTTTTTTTCCATTTTTCTTTTTTTTTTTTTTTTTAAGTTACAGTCCCTCTTCTTAGACAGACTATTAATGGATGTATGTTGGAGTATAATGGTGCTTCCTGTTTCACTAGTTCTTCCTCCCATAATAAATCCTGTCATTAGATTTGCCTTCTACTTTCCACTAATGTTTTCAAAACAGTAAATGCAGAGACTGCAGGATGTCTTTTCCTCATGGTAATAGGTAATTAAAAACCTATCTTTGTACAAGCATAGGTAGGATTCTTTTTCTCTCTTAAAAGCATTACTTTGCTTTCCTTAATTTAATCTAATTTGAACTCATTATGGATCTTCTTTCTTAGCTCATGGCTCGTGCTTCTTGTGTTCATATCTGTCTTTCTCTCCTTTTCCAGACAAAACTGGCTATAATAACATTGGCTTTGATACAACTCCCTAGCATGGATATTTAAAATACAGGCTCCTTTCCAGCAAAACCAAGGCTTCAGCTGCCACAAATTTCATTGCCAGACTTCTGCCTTGTGCTTCTGGCAAGAGTTTAAAGGACTGGAGTGAGATCCTTGTGAAGAGTGCCATCACAAACAGGGTTTTTTTGTTCCTGCTTGTACCAGGTGACCAGGCACTGACGTACAGCATAGCTCAGGCAACGACCAGGGGTGAGTGCCTGAACTTTAATGCAGTTAAAGTCGAGCTGTGGAAAGGAAGGCCCTTGACAAGGCTGCTCTTGGTTTCCCAAGCAGCTCTTTTCACAGCATCCTGGTCCCAGGATACACAGTTACACCACATCAGGGCTGGCCTTCAACACACAGGCCACTAAATCCCTGTGCTGGCGAGGGAAGAGGTTGCAGGGCATCTAAACCCAGTCAGGATCATGAGATTTATATCTGTTCCTTTACTTCCAAAAGATGCCCCAATGTCACCTGTGCTCCAAAAGTGTCACTTGAATATAAAGCTGCTAATGGATGATGGCAGCTTAGAACAGTCAACAAGTAAGCACTGGAATGAGTGCTACCAAATTCCTGGGAGAAATAGTCCTTGAATTCTCTGTGTGTCCTCAGAGCCACTGTACATCATTTATTGGTTCAGACAATTGTTATGGATTTCTCATTCCATCCTGCAGACAGTATAAAATGGGATTCTTGGTATCTTGGCCAAATTCTTGGATTCTTGGCCAAAATTTCCATCATTATCAGAAGTAATGGAGAAATCTGTGTTCCTCTTTGAATGATCAGAAACTGGTCATTTTAGGAGATAATCTAAGGTAGACATACATTTTCATGGTCATAGAAGTAAAATTCTATATTTTTTTTCATTTGTTAAAAACTTAAACAAAAAATACAAGAAGCAAAGAATTTTCATGCCGTGTTAGCAAGGATCCATTCAATTAGTATGATTTCCTAAAGGGAAGGCTTTGATTTTGCACACAGAAAAAGGTGCAGAGTATTAGTCATAGGAGTAAACCATTGATTGAACTAAGCAGTTCACTGGGAATGAGGTGCTTTATATTCATTGAACCAGATGCTTGGATTGCATATGTTGTATCAATTTGCTACATTCTCTCTATTTTAGACACAGTTCCTTTTTAACAACACAAATAAGACTTTTGTAGCCAGTGTGAAAAAGCAAGCTGCCCCCATCTCAGAGAGGGGGTTTCTTGGAAGTCTAGATCATTATTTTCATGGTAATGGCTTAATTCTTAATAGCTTAACTATCAGGCAGAGTTCAGAGGGCTGAACTCAGAATGCATAGAAGTAATCTTAACTACTTACGTGGAAGTGAACCTATTAGAGCTCCCTCAATACCTTTGAAATGGCTAAATTATGCATGGTGTTGGAATGGGTTGTGCTGCCTGAAAATCAACAGTGGCATTCTGGAGGAGAATAATAACTACTCTACTCAGTTTATATGTTGGCCTTGCTCTCACAGTGGGAAAGAATGTATGTGCTGCTTGTGAAACTGTATGGAGGGAATGCAGATGCAGGCTGTTGCAATTTTTTTGGCCAAGATTGTGTCATTTCATTTGAAATTCCAAAATGAGGTCACAGTAAATTTTATGCATCCAAGTGCTAACTTCTTTTTTTTTTCTGCTGCTTCAGTTTGCCAGAAATGCGAGCAGTTGTAAATTTCCACACAATTTTGAATCCAAAAAGGACAATGCAGATTTTCCCCTGCACCTGTCAGGCAGGCAGTCACATCCACTGACTTCAAGAGACCAAAAGCTGTAACACCGAGTGCTTTGAGTATTGACTCTGGAAAGAACAGCAATAAGCCAAGTTTGAGAGTTTTTGACAGTCTCATCTAGAAAGGATAAAAAAGCCAGTGAAAGAAGAGCTGTTTGGAAAGTAC